AATGAGATTCGCGACTCTTCATGTGTGGCATCACCGTGACCTTGTGTGAAGTGCTCATCTTTATGTGGCATGTACATCATGGTTTGATCTCCCTCGTGTTGTGTTGGCCGTGGCACAAAGTTGGTCCTAGCTTGTCGCCGATTGCACGTGGTCTGCCTCGTTAGTTGCGGCTCCCGAGTGTAGTTGTTGGAAGCGTGCAAGCTCTGAGACTAGATCACATCCGAGGGGCTTCTTCATCTTTTATTTATATTTGAGTTTTGGTCAAGTGTTATATACAAGTGTTTCCTGGTCCATAGCTTCCACAGCGCACACATAACACGCAAGTTCCATGTCGGTCATCTGTCGTCATGCTTGACACGAAGCTTGCATGTTGCCGGAGGCCATTCGGGTGATTTGCGCTCCGCAATCCAAGTTGTCAAAAATAGAAGCTACCCCACTCGAAGTGGCAGTTTGGATGGCGAACTTCTCCTACTTCCGGGATGATCCTAGGAAGTCACTAGAATGCCACTGGCGATCAGTATCAGTGATACTGTATCACACAGCAGATGTAGGAGGCTACGACGTTTGTGCTGATGATTCATCGCGATAATAGTGTGTGCAGTTGATCTTCTACAATTGATACACTCGTGATCCCATGGTGTAGATTCTATCGATAGAAACTCATGATTTCAAACATCACGATACCTACACCTTTCGAAGGCCTGTTTCGTACCTCTAAGTAAAATCGAACTCACAGGGAGGGGCAGCTATGCCACAACTCGAAGATATATCTCTTACAATCAACTTCGCAGGTACACGCGGTAAGAGGATCAGTTTTGCCGGCATAGAAAAGAGCCTAGCGGATATTTAATGGCCGCCGAAGGGGAACCAGTTCTGAGATGGCATATCTGCCCCACTAGTGGAACCGGACACGCTATCCGATGCTCCTGCAAAATTGATTGTACCATTCTGGCATATCTTGGTGTGGCATAATCTTTAGGTTATATCATGCAGTGGCATAGCCGCCCCACCCACAAGAATGAGCTTTTCAAGGTGTAATCGAGCGTTACACAACACGCGTGTCTACGTGATGCCCCACAGTGGGCGGAGGCGCTATGATCCCCCGAGAGTCCGGATTCGCGCATATTCCGAATCGAGAGGGGTGTTCACATACTTCCAATGAAAGATTAAAGTGTACAGTGACCGCGTAGGATTCCTGCAGCTGGCCTTCTCTGTTAAACATGAACTTAACTCGAGAAAGCCTTTAGTTTCGGAGAAACTCGCGGTTACGCTTCGATTATTGTTCACCATTTCTAAGCAGTCTTGCCGGATACCATCTTGCCCTTCACAATTTCGCCATAGCCAATGAGACGCCAATGCTTGTCGATACGTCGGCTCAGGGCCAGCTTGTCACCAACATTCGCGCAGACCTAATGCAAAGAGCATCTGGGATTGGCACAGCCCAGTTGTTATCCTTACGGGTACAGCGAGTTGGACCTTCGCCACCGAACCTTCAGTCTTAGTGCCGACAATCTGTCCACCAGCGGCAGTGCCTAACGAAGTGTCACGTGTAGCGGGTGAGGCTTTGTATCAGGACCCACTTCCTATGTTGACCATAAGAATTTCCTTGTTCTTCAGCTTCGTAATGGAGGGACCCTTATAGCCTGGACATAACGGAAACATTAATGTGAGAGGCCGGAGAGCTTAGGAAACGTACCCTCGCCATGCTTCGAAGCATCAGTGTCTTGCTTCACACCGAGCAGACGACGGAGAAGATGATACTTGATCTGAAGTTAGGAAATGTAACAGGCAATAACCAAGGGTACGATGGGCCACTAACCTCGATCTGATCATAGACATCAGGAAGATGGCCCGGATAGCCGAGGACGTGTCCAACTAAGCGATCCGCTCGGGTGAGAGTGGGATCCATTTGTGTACCAACGCCGATAAGACTGGAAGAAGAGCAAGGGAATTAGAAGGGCTGAAGAACCATTTCATTACCCTCCGGGGACGGCATATTGCAGCTCGTTATTCTCAGCATGGAGACTCTTGACCTTAGTCTTGATGGCACGGCAGGTAACATGGCCTTGATCGTCCTTGCTGATAACACCCGGCCGGATT